AAAATTGAAGTTGATGTCAAGTGGCCAAATGACAGATTCGCCGGAGAGATGTCGATGATCATTCAAGTGCTTGTTAAATGAGTCGAATGGGAAAGTTTTTGGTAGATAAATGTAGCCCAGATAAATGTAGCCAAAAATATAGTACCCTCAACCGCACAAATATCCAAAAACATTGGGCGTAGCCATTTCATAACGCTTTTACGTCAGTTCCGAAACTCTTTAATTCAACTGATAAAATTCTTCCTCTCTAAAAATGAAAAGAAATTAATAGAAAAAACTGTTATCTTTTCACCACTAAGGATCCTCCTGTCATACTCTTGAAAAAAAATTTTCATTTAACGATATTTTCCAAGTTACTTTCCAAATTGGAACGAATTTCCAACCAAATACCCAAAAATGATCGAGTGCAACCAATAGCCCGTCTGTACGTTCATTATGGCGTAAACGTTCGAATTCAAAGAGTTTCTCGGTTCAATCTAGAATCGGAACCGAAAATCTGCTACTTTTCAACTATAAACAAAACTTTCAACTTTTAACTTTCAACTATAAACTTTATTTCACCACCCGAGGGCACTATATTTTTGGCTACATTTATCTACCAAAAACTTTCCCATTCGACTCATTTAACAAGCACTTGAATGATCATCGACATCTCTCCGGCGAATCTGTCATTTGGCCACTTGACATCAACTTCAATTTTGATCATGTCAGTTCAGCTAGAACAATTAAATTTGATTCTTAATATTATTAAATCATGTTAAACACTATTTTTCCATTAAAGAAATATCGAAAACTTTTCTTAACAATTTTTTATAGTTTCAAGCGGCCAAATGACAGATTTGTCGGAGAAATATCGATGCTCTTTCAAGCGCTTGTTAAATGAGTCGAATGAGAAAGTTTTTGGTAGATAAATGTGGCCAAGATTCAGGGCTATAATTCTTTATATAACACTTGAGACTTTTGACATAAACTAAGCGTGCGACAATTATTTTTTGAAAAGGTTGTGCGGGTAATTTCGCCGCACCCTGTATAGCTGCTAAAAGAAGCATTTTTCTCAAAAATTTGTTCAAAAATCTCTTGAACTTCCACAGAATAGATCGACCAGAAAAGCTGGGTAGTGGAACTAAGTTGATGAACTAGCATAACCAAAATCTAAGTTGATGTCAAGGGGACAAATGACAGATTCGCCGGAGATGTCGACGCTCAACTCAAGTGTTTGTAAAATGAATTGTATAAGTCGAATCGGAAAGGTTTTGGTAGATAAATGTAGCCCAGATTAAGGGCTATAATTCTTTATATAACACTTGAGACTTTTGAAATAAACTAAGCGTGCGACAATCATTTTTTGAAAAGGTTGTGCGGGTAATTTCGCCACACCCTCTCTAGCTGTTAAAAGAAGCATTTTTCTCAAAAATTTGTTCAAAAATCTCTTAAACGCATTCTTTATTGACCTTATTTGTTGTTGATTTGTTTTTTGAAATAATATTCATGCCCGTTTTCTTCAATGTTTACACTACTTTCAGGGTTCTTATCAACAAAAAAATTGCTCAAAATGGCTCAAGAGGCTTCTCCTGTAAAAGAGCTTATAGCTTCTACCGGCTTTCAAAACTTTTTAACAACTTTAACCACTTTAAAAATGGTTAAGATTTATGCAAAGCATGAATTTTACTTGGTGATTGGAGACTTTTGGAGGGGTGGCTTTGGACGAGTGTCGATCAATCGATTCAAAAACGACAAGTGGGGAGTTTGTAAAAGCGTTTGTAAAGGCGTTTGTAAAAGCTAACACTCTAAAAATTCTGTTTATTTTGATAAATTGAGAATGGAAGAAATGCTACCTTTTTTTGCGCACCCATTCCATTAGCGCACCTTTTGCGCAGCTCTAAAAAGCTAATATGAATTAATTTCCATTTGAAAAATTGTTTCTCTGTGATTTTAGGGTGTAGAATTGAAATTTTGACATTTCAGTGCTTGTGGAAGCAAACGGACAGAGTTATAGATAGGGAAAAATCAAAGATTTTCTGAAAGAAACAAGAATGTAAGAGTCAAAAAATATTTGAATTTTCTCAATTAGATGCCAATTTTGATGCGTAGATGATAGTTGCTGTAAAGCTAGTTTCTTTTGTGGACAAAACTCTTACGAACTCTTCATTTCTTTAGTAGAGAGGTTGCAATCAAATGGCCCACGGATCCGGAGCTTATCGAAGATGAGATTCGCTATCACCAGATCGTCTCCGACTGTCGCTACGTTGTCACAGTTAATCAAAATCAAATATGCTTTTACTTTTTCGCTTGTTTTAGCTTTTCGGTAGCGTAAGAGGTGAAAGGAACGTTCAAAGTGGGATTTTGCTTGAGCTTTGCTATTTGGAGACACTTCATCAGGGTAAGCTTTTTCAAGATTTTAACAAAAGGAAACATGGATACAAAGCTAGGCTCCACTAGTTTTCCATAGAAAGCACTTTTATTTTTTGTTTCATTTTCTTGAGAAAAGTACCATAAGGGAGCGTAGCATAAGAGAGTAAAATTTCTTTTCAATATCGTTTATAAATTGTAAGTATTGTATTGTAAATGTATTGTATTGTAAATTGTAAGACTAAATTGTAAGACTACCATCACTTGTAAGTAATGCTTACTACTCTCTATTTTTTTTGATCTGTCTTCGCACTTAGGTCTTCCTATTTTGCGCAGATCACAACCTGCTTCCACATTTCTCTATCCCTTGCTATTGTCATCCAGTGTTTCCTAGCTTGATTGTTCCTGGTTCGAAGTCTTCGACTTGCTAGTGCTGGTGGTGGTTGCACTCTAGCCATCCTTTCTCTGACCGTCTCTGCCACTCTTGTGCTCCACCTCGTTGCTGGTCTTCCGATGGGCCTCTTCTGGTCTCGTGGTAGTCACTCTGTGATCCGTATCGTCCATCTGTCGTCTGTTCTTCTGGCTACGTGGCCGGCCCATCTGAGTCTTTTTCTCTCAAACACTTCCACTGGATCTCTGAGTCCCGAGATAGCGCGTATCCGTACTTCTTAGGTCTTGGTCGAGCTACGTCTTCCTATTGTGCCCGAGGAGGTTCCTTTCAAGGGCTCGATTTGTCGTTCTCAAGGCTCGTTCGATGGTCTGTGTCGTGGCCCAGATCTCTGTTCCGTAGCAGAGTGCCGGGAGGACGGTGCTGTCGAAGAGGTGTGCCCGAGTTCTCTGGTGATTCTTGAGCATCTTCGTGACTTCTTTGATGCTTCCTAGTGCTGTCCAGGCAGCTCGAATAGAGAGAATACAGTAATTAGTTTAACCGTGAGGAACACAGTCTATTTAACACTCCAATTAATCTTTGTTTTTAAAATCATCAGTTTTTAATTGTGAGGTTGTACGGATATTGCTTTGATTCTATTCTATGACAAAATTGTGTTTTCTTCATTTTGTCAATGACCTCCACTTTTGTTTAACATACCTCTGTTATTCTCAAATAAAGAAAAGGTAAAAAAGAACATTTTGCGCGGTTACCCTATTCTCTCTAACAGTAGTAGTGCATTCCAGCAAGCCGAGTTGGTGACTATTTTACAGTTTCCAAGCTTTTGCAGAAGCTCAACTAATATTTTTCAAAAACGAACTTTTTATAAGACGAAATTAACCTTAAAGGGTGTTATTCTAAAAGAAAATCTGGTATTCAGCAATCTTTGATGAAGAGGCCCAACTGTTGTACAATGTGTTTCACATCGTCGTCTGGATGGAACAACTCGCCTCAGCAATCACTTTCATGAAGGCTAAGGGAATCGTGCATCGAGACATTAAACCAAATAAGTTTCTTTTGCAAAATAACACTGATTCATCAAAGAATTTAGTATTTTATTGCAAAATAACTTCCGAGAGATTCGTTTGTGTGATTTTGGAGCGGCCACAGATGAACTTTCACTCAACAGGGCTCGCATTGTTGGACCATATAGTCCACCAGGACAGGTGAAAGGTTTTTCAATCAACTGTAAGTATTAAATCAATCAATAGGTGTGTTTTGGGTTGTTAAATTGAATTTCTTTTCCGAAAGCTTTTTAAATATGATATACCACATAAAAAAAATTGGGATAAATACATAATTATGTGAAGCAAAGTATAGCGTATTCTCTCTAATAGTAGTGTACTCTCTAATAGTATTCCGGCCCAGGAGAGGATTGAAAAAATAGTAGTTCGCACTACTATTAGAGAGAATACGGTATTTGAATCTAGCCAATCAATCTGGCCCATTACAAGGACGATGTTTATGGAGCAGCAATGGTACTTTGGTCGCTCGTTTTTCGAGAGTAAGTACTAAAGATTTGTGAGTAAAAAGTTTTTAGTGTTTCTGAAATCGCAAAAGCCGCTTGGTTTTGATCACCGCTTAGCAATATTCAACACATTTCAGAGTACCGTTTGCCAAAAAGAACGGAATCACAATCTCAAAGAAAATCGATAATGGGGAACGACCGAGAAGCACAAAGCGAATTCATCAAAATATTCAAGAGATCATTACAGGGTTTGGTGCTTAGATTGTAACTTAAAAACATTTGTTTTTCATCGATTACAAAAGATTAACTCAAACAAATATGCTAAAACGAGAATGAAGATTGTATTTAATTTAATAGAAGCTCTCCCTCTCGTACAATCGCATAGTCGCTATTTTTGCTAAACAATTCTTTTCTGAAATTACTTTTCGTATTAAAAGAAAGCCGAATTCAAGAGCTTCAAGAGCAAGAGCTTCAAGAGCAAGAGCTTCAAGAGCAAGAGCTTCAGGAGCAAGAGTTTCAAGAGCAAGAGATAAATGCTTTGTTGAACATTTAGTTATTTCATATACATTCCCAATAGTTTAAACACAGCAAGGAAAACAAAGCGTTCAAAATTGTTATATGATTCTGTTGCAACCTTGAATACGTGATTACCTCCATAATTATGGAGAAATGGGTTTGCAGATATTACGTTAAAACTTTAGCTGTTCGGGTAATGAATGGAAAGATCGCTGGGAACCAGAAAAACTCCAAGCAACGATGACCGATTGGAAAAATGAGGTAAAGTTTTGAGATGTTTTGAGTTTCTATAAAATAATAATCATTTTTTAGATTCTTCGTCATATTCCTTTCACTCCACCGGCACTTTGTAAACAACAAAACGCTCTTGTTCGACCACATGGAACGGTTCGTTTAGCACACTCTTTCATCATCTTTCATTCATTGTATTCATTGTATTGAAATTTAAAACTATGTTTCAGTTTGAATGTTCCCATCATCAAATGGGCTATCGATTGTTCAACTGGATAACTTTCTTATGGCGATCATATTTTGTGTTCGTTGACCGACTCGGTTTCTGTATTCCAAAAAGTCATCGAACTGTGTGTACAGAGGGTTCGTTTATATTAGATACTTGCTACTTTATATTAGATAAAAGAAAGTGCCAATTATAAACCAACATTCGAACAACCCAAAAACCAATAAGACAAAAACTTTATTTCAATATTCGCCATTATTATCAACTTTGCTCTTTTTTGCGACTTCAGATGTCTGATTCGAAAGATTCGGGATCCCAAAGTAGTCTTGCACCGAAATTTCGACTTTTTGAAGATTGTTAAACCTTACAAGAGAGTGTTGCATAGATTGGAACAAGTGGTAATCTGAGAGAGCAATACCAGGCGAATATGGAGGTTGAGGCAACAGGCAACATGATCATAGCACTATCAGAAAAATAACTTTCGCCCTCGGAAATAATCCGCAGTCTCTTTTGCAAATCGTCAGCTACATTTTTCGACCCCACATCAATAGATTCTGATAAGCGGTTCTCGAGATTTCGAGCAATTTAGGCGACGCTCAGGGTTTGGACAGCTTTTTGAAACTTGTTACAAATAGATTTTTGACAAGCTTTCAGAGATTAAATAAATCTATTTGTATTCTAGATGCCTACGAAATAATCTCACCATCACTACAAGTCAACAAACAAATTGATGGATTCGAGCAGGAAGACGAGGCGATCTTTCACGAAAGGTATCGAATCAAGGAAGGCAATGTCCACGTGTTCAATCAGCAAACCAATCGACATATCCTTTTTCCAGCTCTCGATTCCTTATTCTATCTTTCTATCTCCATCTTTGCTCTTTTTCTCTCTATAGCATTTTTCTTGTATATGACCGATCAGAAGCGACGGCAAAATGAAATAAAATTAGGATGGTGGCTTTTCTGGATCACTACTTCTCCTTTCGTTCTCTATCTTCTGTCCAATTATCAACGAGCTGTGAGACTTATTCGTGCATTTCTTACTCTCTTTCTCAAAGTAGCCATTATTTTGCTTCTTCTATTCACTTTAGCCTATTTTGTTTTCTACGTCATACCGGAGAATGAGATATTCAATCAAAGACGATATCGAAATCGTTTTTGGCGAGTGACGAAAGATTGGAGACGAGATTATGAAGCATATTTTGCTTTCTTTATTTCTACAACTAAAAATGAACTGTGATTTTTGTGTGTTTAAACTTTAAGACTGAATAAACTTTCTCGTTTTTGGGAATTCTTAAAAAAACTGAACACCAGAAAAATTTAGCTTTCACATAAATTAGAGAGTTCAAAAATTTTCTTTTATTACTTTAAAGCAGTCGTTAATGAGTGCTTATCGAGGTCTATCCAATAAAAATACTTAAACTCTCAAGACCAATTCGAAATTTGAAACATTTTTAGTATGCTATAAAGGAAAGTGTTATGAAAAACTAAACACAAAGATTAGATAGGGTTTCGGATTGAATATTCCCCGAATTGGATCGAATCCGTTGTAAGAAACTGTCGTAGCCGACCGGATCTCTTAGTCAGGGTCTTAGTCTTGTCTCCTAGTCGGAGGTCAAGGCTTCGATCCTAGCGGCTTTATTCAAGCTTTTTGACAGTCTGAAGGTCAAAAATTGTTTCTCTGTCATAACATAAGAAAAATCCAATACAAACAGATGCTTGTATTGGATTCCTCTCAAAATCCCAAAGTTTAGTAAACCCCAAGCTGTGCCCAATCAGAAGATCAATAATTGCTGTTTAATTTAATGATTGCTTATCGAGAGCTACACAATAAAAACACTTAAATTCTCAGATCAATTCGAAATTTGAAACATTTTTAGTATGCTATAAAGGAAAGTGTTTTGAAAAACTAAACATAAAGATTAGATAGGGTTTCGGATATTCCCCGAATTGGAACGAATCCGTTGTAAGAAACTGTCGTAGCTGATCGGAGAACTTAGTCAGGGTCTTAGTCTTGTCTCCTAGTCGGAGGTCAAGGCTTCGATCCCAGCGGCTAGAAAGATTGATTCTTTTTCTCATTATTATCGTTTTTTTCTTAACAACATTTGGGTAATAGGGGTAACTAGGGATTAAAATTTCCTCCGTTGTGTTGTCATTCGTTATTCGTGTCGAATAAATCTACTTTTGAATGAATTCGATTGTAGGTTTATTGAATCGGATCAGATCAAAGTCTTGATTTTTGAAAAAAACCTAATTTCATTTGAATAGACATCAAAATCTAAGTTGTTTGAAACCGCAATAGCATTATTTATCCGATTCGATCCGATTCGAAACCATTTCTAACAAAGATGATGCACCGAATTGATGTTTTGTGCAACAGTGCACTAAATTGATGTTTTGAAGTTAGAAGTGCATTTTGTCAATCAAGAACTTTTATAAATTATGGGAAAAGATCAGGTTTACTCCTAAACAATCACTCACCAAATAGAAGAACAAAAATCCACAAAAGTAGAAGATTGAGCAAGCGAATAAAGATTGAAACCTTATGTTGGAAAGAAAGCTTTTATATTTCCCACCAAATTTGTCGTTTCTAAAGTGCGCCTATTCTCGTCTGTCTTGCTTGTCACTAGCAGTGTCAGAAATTCTTTTTAATCTCATCGACATTTTCATCATTCCAGCCTTTTCAGTCGCTCTTCAATTTATAAATTTTTTTCCTCGTTATAGTCTGTCTATTGTTATCGTCTTCCTGAACATCTATAGCTATGTTAGATGAAGCAGTTGACCGACTGTGGTATAGGGTAAACATAAGCCCAATCTATTCTAAACATTTTAAAAGTATTGTCTTTTGATTTAGCATTGTTGTAGCCCGGAAGAAGTTAAAAACAAGCAAAGAAATCATACAAAACAGCCAGCCGAGCTTGAAGCCCCGTGTTTCAGTTTATTTTTCTTAGTTTATCTTAATTTTGATTTTACTCAACGTACTCGTGCATTTTTTTAAAGGAACGCGTTAGCCATGGATAAAAAGCTCGATCGGCGTGAACGGCCACCAGAGGGACACATCGAATTGATCAGAAGCGCTTATAAATCGATCAACGCTGAATTCGAAGCAATACAACGAACGGCTGGACTTGTAGGTTATTTAATATTAGCTAAAATACGTCTGCTCAATCAGTTATAAGTTGTTTATGGCTAAAATGTTTCATTTTTAGGAAGCTTATGCAGAAGCACAAAGAACAACGACACACCTAAATCGGTTTTATGCAAGAAAGAAAGCTCCAATCTTGGTTAGTTATGTTTTTAGTTTGAGCTATTAGCTTTAGAAGCGTAAATCTAAAAGCAGTGATTGTTGGTTTACTATCTTTTTTGTTATTTAGGGGGAAAACAGGCCTTCCCCAATTACTATGACACTTCCGGCTATAGAGGAACAACCACCAATGAACATGTGGACACCGATCGAAAAAAATGTTATGGTAGGAATTCGCATATAAGCATAAACGGAACGCGACAGTGTACATTTTGGTACACGGCTAAACTAGGATATAATTATTTAATGAGACTGGTACTAAGGTCAACATAATATCAGGCGCCTATCTTTTCCTGGGCTTTGGCTCGGCACCTTAGAACCACGTGACTCCTAGGCTAGCCTGATTCTCCTAAGGCTGAGGCGAGTTTCGTACCAGAGATGCTTGTTCCTAAGGTACTTAAGTGCATTTATGAAAGCCACGTGCTTCTGGTATGAAACTGACCTCAGCAGTAGGAGAGTCAGGCTAGCCTGGGTACCACGTGGTTCTAAGGAGCGGAGGCAAAGCCTAAAAAATGTAGGCGCCTGACAAATACCCAACCCAACGGCCCTCTTAAGGGCCACAAACTACCCAATATAACGGCAATACAAAAGGTTTTTGAATTGAAAACCTAACTTAAAAATGTTTTTTTTTGATCAGCGCCATCAATGATGCGAGAAGAACTACATTTGAAAAAATTATAATTGGTCCTCAACTGCCTTAGTACTGAAACTTCGATGTGATAACAACATGCACAATATGAGATTCATTGATGTGATTTTAGGGTGAGGAAACTCGTAAACTAGCTTGCTTGCCTTGGATCAGTGATCGTGACGAAGATTGTGATGCGGAACCCCAGCTTATTTTACAGTTTAAAGAGGTTCGTACTGCTTAGTTGATATCAATTTTATTCAACATTTTGTTTTAGGGAATTCATGGTTACTATGAAAGCCCATATCTTAACGATTGGGTCTTGTACAAGTTGGCAACAAATCTCCAGCCACAGTATGTATTTCTCTTTGCAATACTTTAAAAAACCCGAAACTTTAGCTTTAACAACGACGAAGAACTCCATGCGGCACTGGCATATGAGTTCCCTGACAAAGTTTCGGCTGCTACTCTAAAAAATGAGTAAGTTATTTAGTTTAAATACTTGTACGATTGTTTCTTTAGTTTGAAAAATATAGCGGTTCGCTTAGAAGGTGCGCCAACGCAAGAAGAAATGCAGATGCCAAAGTGCCACAAAGTAAATGCCAAATCTTGTCAGGAATTTCATATCTTGTTTTAGGACTATGTTCTGGAAAAGGGAAATGTTCAGCCGATTGTCGACTCGTCCATGGAGAAAACGACCGCCAGCATCCAAGCGTGAGTTATATTATATTGAGAAACTATTCATGCAACTGCACATACTTTTCTAAATGATTTTTACTTATTCAAGAAATTCCGTTAAGAATAAATCCAGTTTCTTCAAAGCACGTTGATTTGGTGCTTAAAGATATTGATTCTTTAAATTTAGACAAATGCATCGCTTTAATGAGATTCGTTGGAGGAACAATATGTCGGCTGTGCATACCAATCGCCGACCGGTTCCATGTAATCATCCCGGCAAAGAATGCAAGGTGAATATTTATTTAGATATGTTTTGCATTTGACGTGAAAGTAACCTAGAAACTTCGATTGATGCGTCAAATCGTTTAAAATAAATTGTCTTCTAGGTGAATGAATGCGAATGCTTGGGCGAGGATGGCTTTTGTACAAAATACTGCCAATGTGGAGATTGCCCTCACAAATTTCCGGGATGTGCTTGTAAAGGTTTGTTGCTGTGATTCCAATCTAGGTTTAATTATTTAATAAAGAATAAGTGTAAGAGCCTTTGATAATTTTTCATTTAGGAGTGTGCTCTGCCAAGTCTTGCGGATGTTTTTTCGCATTGGTCGAATGTGATCCAAATGTGTGTCATCCTGCTCAACGATCAGAAGGTGTAGCTCTTTGCTGCAAAAACATGCAAATTGGCACAGGTGTTAAGAAGAATGTTGAGGTAACTTTTAGCTTTTAGCTATTTTAGTAATCTTAAACATCAGGTTTGCACCTCCGAAATTAAAGGTGCCGGCTATGGACTGTTTCTCAGAGAACCAGTGAATAAGGATGAGCTCATCGGTGAGTACGTGGGAGAAGTAAGAAATTGTTGAAAGACTGCCTCTTTACATATGTTAGGTATTGGATGAGGATGAGGCAAACCGCCGAGGACTGATTTACGACAAGACTGGAGTCTCCTACTTGTTCAGTGAGTTTTAGCATTTGCACATTTTTGGTTAACGGCGTTTATTGTCCTTATTAATACTATTTTTTAGGACTCAATAAAGAGGAAACTGTTGATCCATGCATTCTGGGAAGCACGATGCGCTTTGCAAACCACAAGTCCGGTCGAGAAGCCAACTGTTACGTCAAGGTTTGTTTTAAACAAATGCGAAGAAAGGTTATTTTCCTGAATTTAGACACCTCTGGTTGATGGTGTTCATCGAATTGGAGTCTTCGCTTCGCAAAATCTACGTCCCGGTGCTGAGCTTTTTTTCGATTACAGATGGGACGAGGACGAAAAGAAGCAACTGCTTGGGTCCAACTACAAGAAGCTCGCAAAGGAAAAAGGTGAGAGACTTTTTGAATAGTTTTAAATTGAATTTTAAGTTGACAATGAATTTTCTAGAAGTGTTAATGATTCTAAATTTTAGCCGTTTCCAAGAAGCCAAAATTTGTCGGCAAGTCGGGAAAATTGAAGGCAAAATCGCATTGAAGAAAAATTAAGTTGTGATTTCTTAGTTGTTACTTTGCAATTTTATTATTATGCAATTTTTTTAGTTTACTTTCCGAAAGTTTTTCGCATAAATTTCTTTCAATAGTAATTTGTAAAAAGAGACACCAAAGAGAACTTCTTTAAAACTTTCAAACGATTATCATATGAAAGCCTAGTCTAGATATAGTCCGTTTTTGGTGGATCCCCCTTTTCTTCGACCTTTGTTTACCTTATCCTGTTTAAAAATCGATTGCACGAAAAGGCAATCAAAAGAGACGAAACACCACCAAATGTGGTGATAGAGAAAAATAGAAAGGCAGACAAAAAATAGGGAAAAATAGAAAGACAAATTTCTTGCAAAGAAATTTTCCCACCCAATTGAGTCACTCTGTTTTTTTGATTCCTACTTCTTTTTTACGTTCTGATCAAAAAACTATTCATTATCCACCTTTTTTTGTTCCCATCAGGGATAAGCTCTACGCAAGCATACAAAGAAAGAAAAGACGACTACGCGACACGACTATGAACTTTCTATTGAAGTGTCGCGAAGTCTTTTAGTTCTTTGTATGCTTGTGTAAAGAGATCCGGATCCAGATCTGCACATACCTGGTTTCCATTAGTGCTAATAATTAAATATTTGCTTTAATTTGTGAGATTTTCAGAGAAAATGTTTGAAAACAATGAAGAAATGAGGGCAATTGATGAACGAAAAAATGGAAAGCAAATAAGTCAAGGTAAGTAACTCTAGAATACAGAAAAACCGACTAGTCTGTTCGGTTTTCTGGTTTAACCTGAAAGATCTGTGTAGCAAGCTTCCCTCATTTACAGATGATGAGCATTTGAGATTCTGATTTTGATTCTTACAGATGAACATTCGAGAAGCCGAGTGAGTTTTGCGGTGAAGAATCTCAGCAATGAAATGAAATTGACGTTGCTTGATAAGCTGGAAGTGGATGGGGTTGGTTGAGTTCGTGATTTTACTCGCTAAAGAATCGAAACGTTGAAATTTGTTGAGAATTGGCACTAACTTTATTGAAGTCTAAGCTTTTTACGGTAAGGATTTGACTAGTGTTGGTCAGATCTTTATAGAAATGTCCCTAATATTCATCACTTACTTTCACAGGTGATCAAGCTCGTCCAAAGCAACAAGACGTTCCGACAGACGGTTTTTGCTGAACCATGGAGAGTTTTTGGGAAGGAATTTGCTATGATTCGAGTCTCAAAGCATTCACTTGAAGTTCAAAAAGCAGCAAATATGGAAACCCTCTACTACAATGCTGATTTTCCTATTTGGCGATTCGTTCAGCGGCTTCAGTTCGGCAAATTGCTTGAGGTGAGATCTTTTTTTGATAAAAATAGATAAAGGGATAGTTAATAGGTAAAAAGCAAATAGATAAAAGGCTAAAAGTAAATAAAAACTGTTGATTTGATAGTAGCTGATCTTTATAACTAGCAAAATCGATTTTCTAGCTGCTTTTCCTCAGATTAAGTCGATAATTTTCTAGGTAATCTGCCCAGAGTGTGATGATCGATTATCCCCAGCGCTGGATGCTTGTTGTCGTCGATGCCATCGACAAGATCCAAACTTTGACCTTCACAAAATCTTCCCACAACTCAAGCAAATCGACAAGCTTCGAGTTCATTTACATTACAAGTAAACTTAAGCAACTAATATAATATATTAATACTAATAGTCAGCTGCGAAAATAGAGGAGTTGAAGCTAGAAAGCTAGAAAGGAAGTATAGCTAGAAAGTTAGAAAGGAAGTACAGCTAGAAAGCTAGAAAGAAAGTACAGGTAGAAAGTTAGAAAGTTAGAAAGGAAGTACAGTTAGAAAGCTAGAGAGTTAGAAAGAAAGTACAGCTAGAAAGTTAGAAAGAAAGTACAGTTAGAAAGCTAGAAAGTTAGAAAGAAAGTACAGCTAGAAACAATGCCTTAAAAGATATTGGTCACTTGATATTGGTTAGCCAAGTTAACCAGGGAAACTTGAAATTAGTAATATTAGTTTCATTTTTATCTATATCAACACAAAAATCAATCAAAATCAACTTTATAGATTGAATTTTGTTAGTTTTCAGAACGTTCAAGAAATTGTTTGCCAATTTCCAAGCTCAAGTCATTTCTTCTACTTCTCTATCCCTTCACGATATGGAAATCCCGCCAACAAAACAGCCAGAGATTTTTGACAGTTTTTCCAACAACTCTCTGAAGTTTTGCGAGAAAATTGAGTTAAATTGCTGGAATGATGACCAGTATGAGCTCTATCGAGAAGCTCTCGTGAAAACGAGAGTGAAATTGGTGAGTCAATGAGTTCGAACGGTGAACCATCGTGACACTTTTCAAGCTTGGATCCAACTTTACCAAAGTACAACTCTAAAATCAAAGTCTTTCCATCATTCTCTTAAGAAGATATGAGCTAATATTCTAGTTAATAACTCTTTCCATTTCATAGATTTTATTGGTTAAAGTAAAGCTAATTCTTAAAGTTGGATCCAAGCTTGAAAAGTGTCACGATGATTTATTTTTAAAACTTTAATAGACTTGAATAGGACCATTGAAGATTGCGCCACTGTGTAAAAACGAAAATGGAATTGCTGAATGGAATTGCCACATACCAGCGCCTTCACTTTGTGCGAGTCTGGTATCAAAATGTAGCTCTTCAATTGGGCTACAAGATAGTACAAAAATCTTTAGAAAAACTGTTGCTTAGTACAATAAAAGTGGTCGCAAAGTGAGAGCATCAGCACTACACACGGTACGTCGTTGTTGTACTCGGTACTCTCACTTTGCCAGCATTTTTCTTGTACTAAGAAACAGTTTTTCTAAAGATTTTTGTACTATCTTGTAGCTCAATTGAAGGGCCACATTTTGATACCAGACTCGCACAAAGTGAAAGCGCTGGTAAATGACAATTCCATTCGGCGCAATTTTCCTTTTTACACAGTGACGCAATCTTTAATGGTCCTTTTCAAGTTTATTAAAGTTTCTGATGTCATCATGGTCTCCTTTAATCGACTTTAAAAATTACTAGGTTGGCTATGAGTTAAGACAGCTTTCACTTTGACCCCAGTTTAGCTATTCTAACAATCCTGAAAATGGGAAAAAGTATGAGAAGTAAGCCATAGTCCAAAGCACTTACCTGACTAAAAAAATTGCTCTTAAACTTTACCAAATTTCAAAAATCTATGTATTTTCAGGTACACATTGTCCTCTGGCGTGACATCTATCGTCAGATCGTTGAATCGTTGAAATCTAAAGGAGTCGCCGGAGCAAATCCCCAAGCTTCAGCTCTACTCTTTGAGGAATATGGCCACTTGTGGGGAGTACTCGATTTGTTCCATTCACTACCAGAAATCATTGACTCAAAAGAGATCCTCTACGAAAAAGCCAAGGAAGACTATCAAAAATGCAACAAAACTTGTGCTGATATTGTGAAATATCGATTCTTTCGACAATCCGACAATCGAGGAGGAGAATGCCTCTGGATGATCCCCTGGGAATCATCGTATGGACTCTTTGTGAAGAGATTTCAAGATTGATTTCATTTAACTAAACTAGCTTTCTTTTCTTTAACTTTTCTTTCAATAATCCTTTCATTAAGATTGTTCCAGCTTAATTCGAAGCCTAACTACCTATCCAATCGTTAGTTTTACTTAGTTTATTTAATCCTTTTTAAGAAATCTTCCAAGCTGATTCCTTGATTTTGATTTTTGCTTTACTTGAGTTCTTTTCTATGATAGATCAATGTGATAGAATTTCTTGTGATAAAGTTATTCTAATACACCTTTAAACTGAGAATTTGGGAACTTAGAAAGAAAGTTGATCAACCAAAAGGACGAAATTTGGTTTTAAAGTCGAGTTTAAAAGATTCATGTCAGGTGTAAATGTTGAAAACAGCGATTAGGTATCTATGCATTTTGTTCTTTCACTTGTTTTCGTTTTTCAAAAGTTTATAAAAGCATCCTCTTTCCATATTTACAATTTTGATCACATTCAATTCCAAACAAATGGATTACCGTATTTTCTCTAATAGGAGTGCACCCCAGCGAGCCGGGTTGGTGACTATTTTACAGTTTCCAAGCTTTCGCAGAAGCTCAACACTCTAATCCCCCACTAGATCTCATCGTCAGCTACATTTTCCGACCCCACATCGATAGGTTCTGATAAGCAGTTCTCGAGATTTCGAGGAATTTAGGCGACGCTCAGGGTGCACTACTATTAGAGAAAATCAATTGTAATCGATATTTGATTCTTTTAATCGCTTATAAACTAGTAACCCTGACTATGTTAAATGTTATTTGGTGAACCAGTTGACAAGTTTGAGTTTTACTACACTCAGTCAACCCAACGAATTTCACAGAACTTGCTTAGCCATGAAAATGGCATGAGAATTGGTCAATTGTGGAAAAACTAGCAGCCTATGGAATAAAAATAAAATGTAAAAAAAATGTTTTTTTTTTTTTTACGGAAATCTAGGCTTAAACCATATTTTTCGGAATTCGGAATGATTCAAAATAGAGCAATTTTAGGGTTACCGTCTTTAATAGCCTCGTTTGGAGCCAAATCTGCTGAATATCCACGAATCGCAATCTTGTATTCAGTGGGTTTCTTTGATTTCTTCAACTGCAGGAGGATGTGGGGGCTCTCTTTAGAAAAAATAATCGATAATTAAATGAAAGTATATTAGTGAAAATGCTACATTTACTCACCTAGTCACAAGCCGAATAAATTCGATGAAGTTGGCACTTGCGTTTGCGTTGAAAATTACCCTAGAAAACGCAAAGCTCGTTCTTTTAGCAAGATTTTTTCCAAAAACACTGCCACGTGCCGGAGTCGAACCCTCGACCCTCAGACCACCACTTTCACTTCAGACTTTGCTTTTTTAGACCTCTGAAAGCGGTAATCTGAGGGTCGAGGGTTCGACTCCGGCACGTGGCAGTTTTTTCGAAAAAATCTTGCTAAAAGAACGAGTTTTGCGTTTTCTAGGGTAATTTTCAACGCAAACGCAAGTGCCAACTTCATCGAATTTATTGGGCTTGTGACTAGGTGAGTAAATGTAGCATTTTCACTAATATACTTTCATTTAATTATCGATTATTTTTTCTAAAGAGAGCCCCCACATCCTCCTGCAGTTGAAGAAATCAAAGAAACCCACTGAATACAAGATTGCGATTCGTGGATATTCAGCAGATTTGGCTCCAAACGAGGCTATTAAAGACGGTAACCCTAAAATTGCTCTATTTTGAATCATCTTTTTAGAGTACCAGCTAGCATTATGGATAGATGGCGTCAACGCTAAACGATTCAATGCGCTCTACATATAGTGGTCCCTCTTTGGCAACAATTCAAACGATTGAGATGCCGTTATCGGCAAGTTTTCGTATCGCTCACCACAGATCGTCGGTAACACTTCTGTAGCGATTTGATTGAACTATCATATGCGCAGATAGATTGGCCTAGATTTGAAACCAAATTTGGTTTTCAGGTTGGAGCCGCGGCAACCGATGATCCAATGTCCGCAGGCCCTAGTGGACGTGCCGAGCTCCCTTGATGGAGATGATGCCGTGGCGATTGGCAGTCTTTGCAACAACTTTTGAGCCTTAAAGCTTTGATCTTTTGATGATATTTACTTTGCAAAACATCGAAAGCTAGATTTGCATTTGATCCTTGAACTCTCTAGAGTTTTAAAAAGATAGAATTTTTCTCTAATAAACCTCAAAAACTTCAAATTTACGCAGTGGGAAATCTGAAAGTTCAAAAACAACTTTCACTCACTTTTTAAAGAATAAAGTTGGTGAAACTTTTGTTTTTGTACTTGTTTATTGCTTAAAACTGTCAAAATCCAAGCCAACAATTGGCGTGACTTGTCTTTTTGTATGCTACAATGCTGTGCTAATGCTTTATTGTTTTATGATTTGAAATCACTTCTTGGAACCAGCGTGAGTTGTATCGGATTTTCTTTCTTTCGAATGGTTTAGAGTCGAGCTCGTATCCTCGCTCGTAACGCTAAATGTTTCGAAAAGACAGCGACGGAGCTAAAATTTGAAAAATTTGAGAAATAGCTAAAGAAAATCTTGTAAACTACTTGTAAATCCGTTGCAAACGAGAGCACAGGATCCAGACAGATTCGCAAGATGAGAATTAGTCTGAGAATTGATTAGATCGTTTTTTTCAACAGCAACATTTAACTTAAACTCAAGATCCCTAGGCTACAGTAAGCACAATAGCGCTAAGAACTAGCTCTGAGCTCTGAGCACAATAGCTAAGAACTAGCTCTGAGCTCTGAGCACAATAGCTAAGAACTAGCTCTGAGCACAATAGCTAAGAACTGGCTCTGAGCTCTGAGCACAATAGCTAAGAACTAGCTCTGAGCTCTGAGCACAATAGCTAAGAACTGGCTCTGAGCTCTGAGCACAATAGCTAAGAACTAGCTCTGAGCTCTGAGCACAATAGCTAAGAACTAGCTCTGAGCTCTGAGCACAATAGCTAAGAACTGGCTCTGAGCCTGAGCACAATAGCTAAGAACTAGCCTGAGCTCTGAGCACAATAGCAAGAACTGGCTCTGAGCTCTGAGCACAATAGCTAAGAACTAGCTCTGAGCTCTGAGCACAATAGCTAAGAACTGGCTCTGAGCTCTGAGCACAATAGCAAGAACTAGCTCTGAGCCTGAGCACAATAGCAAGAACTGGCTCTGAGCCTGAGCACAATAGCTAAGAACCTAGCTCTGAGCTCTGAGCACAATAGCTAAGAACTGGCTCTGAGCCTGAGCACAATAGCTAAGAACTAGCTCTGAGCTCTGAGCACAATAGCTAAGAACTGGCTCTGAGCTCTGAGCACAATAGCTAAGAACTAGCTCTGAGCTCTGAGCACAATAGCTAAGAACTGGCTCTGAGCTCTGAGCACAATAGCTAAGAACTAGCTCTGAGCTCTGAGCACAATAGCTAAGAACTGGCTCTGAGCTCTGAGCACAATAGCTAAGAACTAGCTCTGAGCTCTGAGCACAATAGCTAAGAACTAGCTCTGAGCACAATAGCTAAGAACTAGCTCTGAGCTCTGAGCACAATAGCTAAGAACTAGCTCTGAGCTCTGAGCACAATAGCTAAGAACTAGCTCTGAGCACAATAGCAAGAACAGCCTGAGCTAGGAGCACAATAGCAAGACGGCTCTGAGCCTGAGCACAATAGCTAAGAACTAGCTCTGAGCACAATAGCAAGAACTGGCCTGAGCTCTGAGCACAATAGCTAAGAACTAGCTCTGAGCACAATAGCTAAGAACTGGCTCTGAGCTCTGAGCACAATAGCTAAGAACTAGCTCTGAGCTCTGAGCACAATAGCTAAGAACTAGCTCTGAGCACAATAGCTAAGAACTAGCTCTGAGCACAATAGCTAAGAACTAGCTCTGAGCACAATAGCTAAGAACTAGCTCTGAGCACAATAGCTAAGAACTAGCTCTGAGCACAATAGCTAAGAACTAGCTCTGAGCACAATAGCGCTAAGAACTAGCTAAGAATCTCTAGTTTTAAAATAACTAAAATTCTCCAATAGTAATGTACATCAAGCACTTATTGCTTTCATATACGTTTTCACGATATGAGTCACCCTGTAGCTTTCCGGAGAGGGTATTGAAGGGTTAGAGGCTCAGTGATTAGAGCAATAGCCCGTTCGGGTTATTGCTCTAATCACTGAACTATCCGGTACCTTAACTTGTCAAGAGAGAGAAGGAAAGAGAGGGAAATAAGCTCAATCATTACTAAACAACTTGTAGTAAAAGTTGACAAGTTTTAAGTTACAGGACGTGGCACATCATCGTGTTTAGCGTGTCCTACTACGTCTCGCTACTCCCACCACGATGCCTAACATACTTTGTACAGTACAGTACAGTACAGTACCAAGATAGGCTAAAGTGTTAGTGACAGAGGAATCTCTGGTAACGCAGAGACTGCAGTATCTAAATCTAAACCAAAGTATCCAGTAAAGTACTAAAATTTTGACTAAACAAGATTACTGTAGCTTTGTGGCTACAATAGGCTTTAAATCAAACTAACCATTAGACTGTAGTCTGTGGTACAGTAGTACACCTAGCCGAATTATAGAGGAAAATCGGTGCTGCAATAATTGGGGCTTCTTTAAGGTGTTTTTTTTATTTTTTCCTATTTTGCATCTGAGACTTTTAATGAAACTTTTCTAAAACTTAAAGAAAAGAGTGGCAATGCCAAAATTGCTCCAACCTGGTAGACTTAAGAAAAGAGTGGCAATGCCAAAATTGCTCCGACCTGGTAGACTTAAGAAAAGAGTGGCAATGCCAAAATTGCTCCGACCTGGAGACTTAAGAAAGGTGGCAATGCAAAATTGCTCCGACCTGGTAGACTTAAGAAAAGAGTGGCAATGCCAAAATTGCTCCGACCTGGTAGACTTAAGAAAAGAGTGGCAATGCCAAAATTGCTCCGACCTGGTAAGCCAGTGCCAGGTCAGAAGTCAGAGCTTGGCTGAAGTTCTGCTGGTTTAGTTTAAACTAACCATTGAAACATTCCTAGCAGAAATCAATTTCGACTTTCAAGATTTCAAGTGTTTGTGCTACTTAAATCCTACAGTATTCCTACGAACTACAACTAAATGCACAGTTCTCTACTCACCAAACTAACCCCACGATTCATTGTATTCAAATCAAACTTCAAATCACGCTAACCATTAGACTACAATACATCTAGCCAAATTGCTCACCTCACGATTCCTCGTATTCTCATCAACTCGACGTAGTTTCGCTGTAGTTCTCAGGTTTTTCAACAAAAACTTTAATTATTTCACCTGGAAATAGCATCCCGTTGAAAAAGCATTCCACATACAACTGGAAACACATCAATATTCTACAAAAAAATCTCTAAATCACCTTACCAAACAATAAAGAAAATGCTCAAGCCGGCAAAGGTGAGAATGTGAACGCCGAGTTTCCAAAGGGGAAAACTGAAAGAGACAATATTAGTAATCAAATAAAACAGAACTTAATTCAAGCACTGATTTTTAAAAGCTTGTAAAGTTAAAAACTCTCACTGTAGATTCTATTCGTTACTGGTGAATGGAAAGTAATAGGTTGATGCAAAAGTCTTTTCGTTTTTTTCGTACTTCTGTTAAAAAGTAACAAATTCACCAATTAATCTATAGTTTGCTCTATAAAAAAAAGTGTTTTTTTGTTCAATTTGCATCTTTTTAAATGAATTTCGGTTCATTTTCAAGCAAATTCGAGAGTGAAAAACGCCTTTTTCGTAAAAATCTATAAAAAACTCTACGGAAAAATTGGCTGAATGAATTTCTCTGAAATTTTGGCAAAATATCAAACGTTTTTTTTTCTCTATCTTTTATCTATTGACACGAAGATAGGTTTTCTTTAGCTAAGGTGTCTAAACCGCATCATCGAGTTAGCCCTTTTTGACTACCCGACTTCATACTCTCAAGAAAATCCAGGCATTAAATATTTGTAAACCCGTTTTAATGTTATTTTGCAGAAAAATAATTGCTTTTTCTAATGAAATCAACCGTAGTTTAATTGGTGCATTTGTTGGCTTGAAACGGCAGACGAAAAGGAACGAAAAGACTTATGCATCAACTTAATAGATCTGGCTGGTTTGGGTTGTCCAGAGCTAGACCTGACTGGCTTGGATTGTCCAGAGTTTAATTGGTGCATTTGTTGGCTTGTAACGGCAGACGAAAAGGAACGAAAAGACTTATGCATCAACCTAATAGAATACAGTCGTCAAAAAAAGCCTTGACCGGTCAATATTTTCTCATTTTTCTCCCATTAGATCGCTCAAATAAATCGATTAGTTTTTTGTAGTCTTTTTTGTGAAAGCTTTAAGATGTTATTCTTAGATTTTTTTATGTTGCTTTAAATAGAATTTTTCAAACTATTGGGTTGGGGACTATGACTCGGCGGACAAAAGAAAGGCAAATTTATTGAACATAAAACCATCAATTCATTCCAAAGAATTTCCATTATTATTGACGACTTCTGCCCATTTTACAGGCAATTTGCGGATTCCTCTTTCGTAGTAGGATTTTGGTTTGTGTGTGAGACAAGTGTGAGACTCAGAAATGGAGGGATGGAGATGTCAGCCGTCAGCCCAGTTTGAGCACTTTCTTCAAAAGAAACCCATTTTGGTGTCAATAGAAAAGTTATAGAGAATCAAAAATTAGGCTTATAGCCAAATTTCCAATAAGATACACTTAGTAGTTTCGCTTAAAATGCAAGTTATGTGAAAATTCGTAAATTTGGCATTTCTTGAAAACCAGTGTTTGAATCGTTCTGAAAATTTGGATATAAGCTTGATTTTTGATTCTCTACAACTTTTCCATTGACACCAAAATGGGTTTCTTTTGAAGAAAGTGCTCAAACTGTCACATATGACATATTGTCCGCCGAGTCATAGTCCCCAACCCAATACTTTTGCTTAAGAAGGTAAGATCTTTTCTCAGAGTTTGTTCAAGACTTCTAAACTGCTAGTAGCCTTTCATTTTCATCAAAACAAAATGAATAAATAAGTAATAGACAATCAAATGCTATTATAATTAAAACCGTTTTCATTCTTGAAACCGCTGACCAAGCTACTTGTTAGACCAATCGCTTTGAACATTTCAATTGAGCCCTGTCATATAATTCGGACAATCTGACAGTCTAGCCTGTCTGACAATGAGCAAATCTTGCAATTAGCCTAAGATAAACGACCGGTATCAAGTCTGAATCTAAACCTGAACCTAGCTTAACCTGGATCTCTGCTTTGGTGCTAGACCCCAATTTGATCTGATTCTAGTGCTAGACTCAAACTTTGTCTCTTCTAAATCTAGAGAATCTTTGCAGCTCTCGAAATTTCCCATTCTGTGCAGAAAAATAGCTTCTCTTTTCTGTGAAATCTTATTTAATGTTTTGCTTTGAATATCTGATTCTCTTGTTTGAATATCTGATTCTCTCGCCTCTAAAAGATCGTTTTTATGATAAAGGGAGGGACGGAGCCCACTTTGTATTGCTTCGTATTGCTCTTCGTATTGCTATGAAACACCGAACCAACGATTAATTCTATTTGATTATATTTTCTCGCTCGATTAGTATTGTGCTAGATTCGGAATAAATATCTAATAACCATTGCCCCCATCGGTATTCTCTCAAACACTGCACAATGCTACATAAAACTAAAAACTATATTTGAATGTGATTATTATGAAATTATAAATTATGTGAATATTGACTGGCCAAAACTTTTTTTCATCACTGTATTTACCTTTGATTACACAATGATTGCATTGTGTAATCAGAGGAAATGACCATTTCACCGCATGACATTTCGCCACAAAATTGATGGCTGCTCGCATAGCTCCTCGGAGAGCTCACATTCAAATCTGATTTCAAATTCAGAAACTAGAGATAATTTAGCGTTGCTTCGTACTAATTTGATAAAATTTGGTATTGTAGTCTCAGCGTGCGAGTTGCAAAGTCTGAACGAAACGTCTGCATGGTCTCAGCGTGCGAGCTGCCTAGTCTCAGCGTGCAAAGTCTGAACACTCAGCGTGCTCCAGTCTCCCGAATCTCTCAAACATAATCCCATTTTGGTTTTGAACTAAACAATGAAAATCTAATGTAAAAAAAACAGTCTAAATTTCATAAAAAAAGAGAGTATGAAGCTCCATTTTGATTGCCGGGAGTTACACTCAAAAAAAACTGTTTACTGTTTACTTTAAACTGGCAATTATGCATCACCCTGTATAGTAATTCTACTTAAGTATAGCTTCATTTTTTAGCCTTTCTCTTCTTTTTACGACTTTTTTAAAGCTGGTGCTGTTGTTGAGGATTCTCCAGCTCTGAACGAAAAAGCTCGAGCCCTTCTGATGAGCAAAACTAAAATCTCTGCATTGGAAAAGGTACACAAAAGTTTGCTCCCATAAAAAAACTCTTTAAAGCTAAAGCTTTACAACTGTTCTTTTTTCCTACTAACCTGTCACAATGAAGACCAAAATTGTTAATACATAAATTGTGACGGTAAAAAAATGCATGAAACGATGCATTAGCATTTGACAAAGATCACCAGTACACCTAGAATCAGGTGAATTTTGTGAGAAATCCTAGAAAATCCCCCCACCCAATCCATGTATTCATGCCAAATCTTCTGGTTCCAAACATAGCCGATCCAATGCAATAACATCCAAATAAGAACCAACTGCAAGAGATGAATAAATACTACTTTTTTGCCAGAACTTTCAAAACTTTTTGGAGGATAACTGATTGGGGAAATCGTTCAATCAGTTTGAATTGAATTGAATTGATTGAAATCAATTGAAAAGACTCAGATCTGACCGGATCTGGATCGATCTGGAGATCACTTTGTTTCTACCAGATCTGGATCGATTAACCGGATCTGGATCGATTAACCGGATCTGGATCAATCTGGAGATCACTTTGTTTCTACCAGATCTGGATCGATTAACCAGATCTGGATCGAGTGACCGGATCTGGATCAATTGACCGGATCTGGATCGCTCTGGAGATCACTTTGTTTCTACAAGATACAATTATGGCAAACCAATTTTTGGAAAAACTATTCTTTTCTAAAAAACTTTCTACAGAAAGTAGCATGTATTAGATACCATTTGAAAGCTCTAATTCTCAGCATTATTAATACATTAAAGATTTTTTGGTTATAGCTAACTTTTGACTCTTACTGGCCTTCAGAATAAGCCGCAAACACCCCACATTTCTGTCATTTTTCGTGATTTTGAATCTTTGAAATCAGTTGAAAAAAATCAGTTGAAAACAATCTTTTCGAAGCACTCCTTGCATTCAAAACCACAAAAATGGCAGATCGCTGTGGGGTGCTTGCGGCGAGCTTGCGGCGAAAATGAGTCGAATGGGATCAATTGTTAGAATTGTTGAATTTATAATGGCTAGTTTACATTAGACATTAGACATTAGACATTAGACATTAGACAAAAGCGGATCAAAAGGGCAACTTTGCGACGTTCAATGGCTAGAGAATGGTCAAATCAGGTAAAACGCTGTTTTTCGCGTTTTTTGGAATGTCTGCTTCTGCTGATTAAGGCACTTTTGAATCGTCATTCTGGTTTTAAAGTAGTGAATTGAATTAATTTTGATAAAATATATACAAATTTGATTATATTTCCTGTTTTTCTCAGCCGAATTTTTACTTAGAAAATCACGAAAAATGATAGATCACTGTGGGGTATTTACGGCTTATTCTGAAGGCCCGTAAGAGTCAAAAATTAGCTTTAACCAAAAAATCTTTAATGTAATAATAATGCTGAGAATTAGAGCTTTCAAATGGTATCTAATACATGCTACTTTTTGTAGAAAGTTTTTTAGAAAAGAATAGTTTTTCAAAAAATTGGTTTGCCATAATTGTATCTTGTAAAAAGAAAGTGATCTCCAGATCGATCCAGATCTGGTCAATCGATCCTTGTTGAACACAGAAGCCTAGTAGAACACAAACACTTGCTATGACTAGAATTAGAAATCTAGCTAGTTAGACTAACCTCACAACACCGAGATAAATGCAACGCTTCATCGTGACCGTCCTCCGATAATCAAAGGGTCGCCAAATCGCGTAGAGCTGGAGAACATTTTATAAAAATAGAGCCTAATAGAGCAGTAATAGAGCCATAGAGCCTAATAGAGCAGTAATAGAGCCTAATAGAGCCTAATAGAGCAGTAATAGAGCCTAATAGAGCCTAATAGAGCCTAATAGAGCAGTAAGGAGCCAACAGAGCCTAATGAGCAAATAGGCAATAGAGCCTAAAGAGCAGTAATAGAGCCTAATAGAGCCTAATGAGCGTAATAGAGCCTAACAGGGCCAATGGGGCCAATAGAGCCAAATAGGAGCCTAATAGAGCAGTAATAGGGCCTAATAGGCTAATAGAGCGTAATAGGCCTAATAGAGCCAATAGAGCGTAATAGAGCCAATAGAGCCTAATAGGCAGTAATAGAGCCAATAGGGCCTAATAGAGCCTAATAGAGCCAATAGAGCCTAATAGGGCAGTAAAGGGCCTAATGAGCCTAATAGAGCGTAATAGGGCAATGGAGCCTAATAGAGCAGTAATAGAGCCTAATAGAGCCTAATAGAGCAGTAATAGAGCCTAATAGAGCCTAATAGAGCAGTAATAGAGCAGTAATAGAGCCTAATAGAGCCTAATAGAGCCTAATAGAGCAGTAATAGAGCCTAATAGAGCCTAATAGAGCAGTAATAGAGCCTAATAGAGCCTAATAGAGCAGTAATAGAGCCTAATAGAGCTCTAATAGAGCCCCACCCTAGGGGGATATGAAAAAATAGAGCCCCATCCCTCTAATTGAGTCCCACCCAAATTACAAATCACATTTATGCAAACATATTCATGTAAATTATCGGTTATACCCATCTCATATTTTTTCAAATGCTTAAGAAGGTAAGGTTGCTTAAGCCATACTATTTAGAGGGATAGGGAACCAAATTTTGGAAAGGGAAAAGTTTAGAGGAAAAGGAACAAATAAGAAGGTAAGACCTTTTCTCAGAGTTTGTTCAAGACTTCAAAACTATCAGCAGCTTTTCATTTCATTAGAAGAAAATGAAGAAATAAGTAATAGAGAATCCAATGGGGAACCAAATTTCCAAAAGGGTCCCAAAAAGGGGAGTTCCAGAGTTCAACTATTATAATTAAAACCGTTTTCAATGAGATCTATTCATTCTTGAAATACAGACTTTTAAAAAACATGCTCAAATCATGCTAAAAATCATGCTTTTTCAATCATCATTCAATTCAACTCATCAAAAGATATTAAAAAGCTAAATTGTTTATTTTAATAACCTTTGAAAATGCTACAAGGGTGCAAAAAGAAGCAAGACCTTTTCAAGAAAACGGATCTTTACTCTTGTTGCAAATGCTGACACCCTGTATAAAGCCCCACCCTAGAGAGAATATGAAAAAATAGATCCCCATGAGGTTCAACGACAGGAAATACGGTAATATTTAATTTTAAATTAGATTTACAAATAGTAAAGTAACCTTTAACATTGATAACGATGTGTAAGAGATAAGCGCCGACCAAAACGAGCCGGTGAAGAGAGTTTCGAAGAGAAAGATGAGATCATGACTAAACTGGGGAAAGCGATTAGCTTTAAAGTTTAGGCAAAAGTTAGGCACCAAAGTTTTTGGTTTGGTAGAAATTTACGCTTATTCTAACCTACCGTAAATACTGTAATAGTACCCCCAAAATGACGGTGCGGAGCGTAGCGTAGTCTAGCTTTGAACGAGTGTTTCTCGACACTGGTTTATGCTACAATGTTGCTTAGGTATCAAAAAATAGCTGAGATTCAGGGCTATTTTTTTGATACCAAAGACGAATTTTTTGAAAGTACGGGCGCTTTGGAAAAAGTGAAAAAAGGTGCGGAGTGTTGCGTAGTCTAGCTTTGAACGAGTGTTTCTCGACACTGGTTTATGCTACAATGTTCGCTTAGGTATCAAAAAATAGCTGAGATTCAGGGCTATTTTTTGATACCAAAGACGAATTTTTTGAAAGCACAGATGCTTTGAAAAAAATGAAATACTGAAAAACTTTTGCGACTACGCGACTGTACGAAGGGGTGGGGTACTATTAAAGTATTTACAGTAGTAACATAGTTTCTATGGCATTTAAATGGATCTACTAGGGTTATTAGTAGCACTTATTATGGACAATACTATGCCTCAAGCCGGAAGCAAAACTGTAGCTACTTGAGTAGACCAGACTGCAGCTACCATCCTATAGACAAGCTTTATTAAATCAAAATCCTTATCAAATCAAAGCCTTAGCAAAAATAGCCCTGAATTTCAGCTATTTTTTGATACCAAAGACGCATTTTTTGAAAGTACGTGCGCTTTGAAAAAAATGAAATACTAAAAAACTTTTGCGACTACGCGACTGTACGAGGGGGTGGGGTGCTATTACAGTATTTACGGTAGTATTGTAGAGGCTTTTTCAAAAGAGTTTCTCGGAGAAATTGAGAAAATCAACTAATCTTGAATATGATTTAAACTTTGACAACCAACTTCACTTGATTCCCAAGCACAATGTATAGGGCAATGGTGAACGCTGCTAGACATGACATAATATCGCCGATCGTTCGATTGATTAATAGAACGTAACATTTACGTGAGACTCTTCTTTTTCGGATCGCCTTGCAGGAAATTACTGGAAATTACTGAAAATTGTTGAAAAATCATGATTCTGAAAGCTTTAATGGTTTGATTTGAGTTCTTCTCAAAGGTTTCAATTTTTAGCCTGTTGAATTTAGCAGAAAATTCAGACTAGAGGCTATATTTGGTTAAAATTTCTATTAAACTGATCTATTGATTTGGCCGGGTTCGTTTTTTTGAAACTTGAAGAGACACATTTGACCGATTTATTTAACCTTTTTCTTGAAATGAATGATGGATGGCTATGAGAACGACTACGAGGATGAGTCAATAGATAAAATTCCATTTTTAGGGCTAGTTGATTCGGCAGGTGAGTCATTACACACTCCTTAGCGGGTATCGACTTCCATGGCCACCGTCCTGCTGTCTATATCAACTAACGCCTTTCATGGGGTCTCATGAGTGGACACTTAGGCACTTTAACCCGACGTTTGGTTCATCCCACAGCGCCAGTTCTGCTTACCAAAAATGGCCCACTAGGAGCTCTCATTCAGGGTCACAGTTCACTGAAGAAACTGCAACATCATACCCATTGAAAGTTTGAGAATAGGTTGAGGGCATTTCGCCCCCAATTCCTCTAATCATTCGCTTTACCGAATATAACTGATACAAACTCCTGCTATCCTGAGGGAAACTTCAGAGGGAACCAGCTACTAGATGGTTCGATTAGTCTTCGCCCCTATACGCCAGTCAGACGATCGATTTGCACGTCAGAATCGTTACGGACCTCCACCGGAGTTTCCTCCGGCTTCGTCCTGCTCACGTATAGTTCACCATCTTTCGGGTCCTTGCGTATACGCTCTACCTCCGCCCCATGGCAAGCCATCGAGACGGGGCTATGGTGCGACGCACAGCGAGTGCACGTATCCCATATCAACCGATCGAAAGCCGGTCTTTACTTTCATTGCGCCTTTAGGTTTTCCACCCAATGACTCGCGCATACGCAAGACTCCTTGGTCCGTGTTTCAAGACGGGTCGGATAGGTGATCGACTTGCACACCGAATCACGCTAGTCGCGACACGTCTCCCCAACACGCAAGACACCACATAAGTGGGCAACACGTGCCGGTTCGACGCGCTTGTTCGACGCGAAAACGGCTTGGTAAAATCTTATGAAAATTTGTCTCTTTTACGACTTCTGTTAAACTATAGTATGGCGGAATAGATATTGATTTGACCGGAAAGTCTTATCCACCTTTTTTGTTTATAAATGAATCAGGTTCCTCATCTCTCTAAACTTGGTTCCTTATCTCTCTAAATTTGGTTCCGTGTTACTCTAAATTTGGTTCCTTTTCTCTCTAAATTTGGTTCCTTATCTCTCTAAATTTGGTTCCCTATCCCTCTAAATAGTATGGCGGAAAAGTTTGGTTCCTCATTTCTCTAAATTTGGTTCCGTGTTACTCTAAATTTGGTTCCCTACCCTCTAAATAGTATGGTGGAATAGATATTGATTTGACAGGAAAGTCTTATCCACCTTTTTTGTTTATAAATGAATCATTAGCCAATAAATGTGTGATTTGCTTTAAATAAAAAAGATTAACGATTTTGTTTAGCTTTTTAGGCAAATTTGAGTCGGCTTTAAAGTCAATCCGAACGGGAATTCTTGTTTTTTTTTCCTAAAATCCTTACAATGAACATAGAATGAAAACGATTGGGTGAAATTTTATGAAATTTCTCTACTTGCGAAACATTTTATTCTTTATCTTTTGTTTTTTGACACCAAAAGCGGTTTCTCTAACAAGAATTGCTCAAATCAAAGCTTTGAGTTTCATCGTTTTTAGATTTTCAACTCAAAAACAGCAGCCCATCCACCCTAACTTCGTTGCCCGAATGAATTGGTTACTTTTTGATCTGATAAACCAATCGATCTATGGTTTCTTTTATCAGAAAGTTTTATTATTTATTTACAAATTCCTCTTTAAGAAATTCTAAAAAGCTCGCGTTATTTGATTTTTTTAAACCGGGAACGTTAGTTATACTGCCCCACCCACCCGAACTAACGTTCCTGGTTTAAAAAAAATCAAATAACGCGAGCTTTTTAGAATTTCTTAAAGAGGAATTTGTAAATAAATAATAAAACTTTCTGATAAAAGAAACCATAGATCGATTGGTTTATCAGATCAAAAAAGTAACCTTTAAAAGGCGAACAAGCCTTTCTGGTCAACCTAATATGTATGGATAACACCAAACTTTTAATAGTAAGTCAATAGTAAGTCAATAGTAAAGTTTGGGGTGTGGCCCGCTTTAACCTTATCATCGAGGATGATTTTGCTTCAGAATAGCCGAATTGCACAAAGAAGGTTAAAAGGGTTTCCCCAAAGCGCTTACAACATAACAAGAACGCGCAACATCCAACACGAGATTAACACTCGTCGGTGGCGACACAAATGTTAGTAAGCTCTCTCTACAATGTTAAACCAGTTATCTAAACAGGATTTAAAACCTGAAGGGTAGCATAAAGTAAAGTGAATTTATAATTTTACTGTTTATTAGTACAAAACCAAAATGCAACAATACCCATTACAAAAACAGCATGCGCATCAATAGAAACAACCAAGTCCCCCCAGAAAGAAAGAAAAAGCAACCCGCAGACCAAAAAAAAAACAATTTTGGGAAGGGAGAAAAGGGCGAAAAATGCGACGCGAATAATTGAAAATTAGCAACGCAAATAGGAAGGAAACGGACGCGACCGTAAGTCAATCGTAAATCAATAGTAAATCAATAGTAAATCAATAGTAAATCAATAGTTAGTCAATAGTAAGTCAATAGTAAATCTAATAGGAACCAAAATAACTGCTAGAACTCACGAAGATAAAGTGTTGTCAACACGAGTCCCATCACAGCCATTGGGAGCATCCACGTTCCATGGTAGGGTAAATACACGGTTTCTTGTAGCGAATCGCGTAAATGCTAGAATTTTCTTCAATGTTACTGAAAGAAAATGCCGGATTTATTGGGCTTCGTGATGATTTCAACTAAATGTAAAACCGTAACCCGTTTGTTTCTGTAAAAAGACGATTTCCCTCTCTTATTGCTCACTTCAAAAAACGCGTTTTGTTCTTGGGGTGTAGTGAAATTCGTAAAACATCCATCCTCCATCGTCATCCGAACATCCATCCACTGCTCACAAATGTCGGCAAATGTGCGCACGACGTCCATAAATGTTTGCACACCAGCCATTTTCATGGCTAAGCAAGTTCTGTGAAATTCGTTGGGTTGACTGAGTGTAGTAAAAATCAAACTTGTCAACTGGTTCACTAAATAACATTTAAAATTATCAGGGTCACTAGTTTATAAGCGATTAAAAGAATCAAATATCGATTACAATTGATTTTCTCTAATAGTAGTGCACTCTGAGCGTCGCGACGCTCAGGGTGCACTAATTTAGGCGATGCGTCGCCTAAATTCCTCGAAATCTCGAGAACCGCTTATCAGAACCTATCGATGTGGGGACGGAAAATGTAGCTGACGATGAGATCTAGCTGAGGGATTAGAGTGTTGAGCCTCTGCAAAAGCTTGGAAACCGTAAAATAGTGATCAACTCGGCTCGGCGAAGTGCAATACTATTAGAGAAAATACGGTAGTCTAGAAAATGAATTCAATTTTGACTAATAAAAACCAAAGAATTTGACTGGCAAATGTCAACGTTGACCTGAGAAAAACGAATCGAAAACAATTTTTTTGCAAAAATCCTTGATTGGAGATCCGGTTTTTTCAGTTTTTTTCCCTTTACTTCCTTGCTCTCACAGTTTCTCTTGATTCCCCTTCCTTTGCAGAAGAACTTATTTTATTTTATCACTTTTCTATCCAAAGATTTGCCAGAGAAATTATTGAGAAAATTTGATAGGAAATAGCTAGATACTTGTCATGTAATAGCTAGATTCTTGTCAAGTAATAGCTAGATTCTTTTCATATAATAGCTAGATCCTTGTCATGTAATAGAGATTCTTGTTATGTAATAGCAAAATTCTTGAAAAATCTCTATATCTAAAGCTTTTTCTTCTATAAATTAACATAAAACAACTAACCTTAGTTAGCCTTTATTATTTAATCAAAACTATAATATGCTTTACAATTCATAGTTAAAGTTTCAAAGTTTCTCGATATAGAAACTCGTACTTACAAAGTAAAGTACCCTGTATACATGGACGACTTTTGAGTGAGTCTAATTGTCACAACAAAATAAAGTTCTCATTTTAAGGCAGACAAGAGCAAAAAAAGACAAATTTTTAACTGAATAACATTTATTATACATTAAAAATTATAAATGAACTATCAAATTCGAATCAGTCACCTTTAGCATTTGAACAGGTTTGAAGGCGTTTCGAAAACGCCTAAATGGTGGCTGGATCGAGCCAAATAGGCTGGATCGAGCCAAATAGGCTGGATCGAGCCAAATAGGCTGGATCGAGCTCTTTTCACGCTTTCAACAGTGATTTCTTCAAGCTTTCAATGTTTTTGTGAAGCCTTGAACTAGTTTTGGCTTCTAAAACCGATCTCTAGAGCTAGGTGGCTACTCAGAAAAAGAAATGAAATCCGGGAAGTTGCTTTGACAGAACTCTTAGACTTTCTTGGATTTGTGACCATCTGATAAGTCCAAATGCGATCTCCAAAATGTTTACGAGCTCAAGGCAAGAGTTTATCCTTGAGAAGAGTCAGGTTTACCTTGTTACCACACGTGATACCTTGTTACGACAATTCTGGCGCACCCTTTAAATAAAGGTATTGCGAGTGTTTTGAGTTTCTGCTCAAATAAAGTTTTTCATAATCTATTTGCGATTTAATGTATTTATAATGTATTTGTCATATTTGCCATATTTCGAATTTCTAAGATCTCGTGCTTTTTATCGAATTCTTGATGAGGGTTTCTTGCAGACGAAACGAGCTGGAGTGGCAATATCGGTGGATCCATACCATGCATGCATACCACAAGAATCATCATTTGCCAACTAAATAGATGCCAACTAATCCAGCCTAAATGCCAACTTAACTGAAGTTAAAGTATTTCGTATAAAACTATGCACAAATCTTGAATTTAGCCTTAATAAATTTAGACTTAATAAATCTAGCCTTAATCTTCAATTTTAGACCAATGAATCCTAGATTGAAAGACCAGGATTTGGCTTGTGACTTGAACAGGTTTAAGAAAAGAAAAGATGTTATAAAAGATACTATAGAACTTCTAGAAACTAGAGCCTCTAGAAACTAGAGCCTCTAGAAACTAGAGCCTCTAGAAACTAGAGCTTCTAGAAACTAGAGCTTCTAGAAACTAGAGCTTCTAGAAACTAGAGCCTCTAGAAACTAGAGCTTCTAGAAACTAGAGCTTCTAGAAACTAGAGCTTCTAGAAACTAGAACTTCTAGAAACTAGAACTTCTAGAAACTAGAACTTCTAGAAACTAGAACTTCTAGAAACTAGAACTTCTAGAAACTTCTAATCCTTCTAGTTAAAAACTTCTAGAAATCTAGAGCTTAGACTAATCTTGGTATAAAAGAAGGTTTTTAGAAGATCCATCAGCTATGAAGGATCTTCAAAAACCTTTCAAAGGTTTTTGAAGATTCCTCATCTTCTCAGCAATACCAATAAAGCTACTCGTAATCTAGAAAATCTAGAATAATCTAAACTAATTCAACTATGAATTAGTTTAGATTTATTCTAGAATTCTCTATATTTATACAAAGAATAAACTAGATACTCTGAATTCGAGAATTCTATTTCAATTTCTAATTTCACCTCTTGTTTTCCAATGTTTTTAATAACCTAATGTTAAAATAAACTTGTTAAGTAGTTATTGAGTTCGATAAAAGCTTCATAAGTAGCTATTGAGTTCGATAAAAGCTTTGAAAAGCTCTATAGTATCTATTATAGTCTAGCTAGCTATAGTCTAGCTTTATAGTTTTATAAAAGCTTTCAAAAGCTTTATGGCTTTATAGTAGTAAAGTACTTTACATACCATCCAATACTGCTTGATATTTCGAAAGAATTTCGCGTTGTCTCCCAGATAATCGACTGGACTTCCATCAGTCCAATTGCCTTGTCCCTTTCCATTTCCATGATATCCAATCCAGGCATACTGGTGACCACACGGACTGTCGTCTGTCGTCACATTTTTCATCCTACTAACGTTGGAGGTGATCAGATCTAGAATCAGATCTAGAATCAGATCTAGAATCAAATCAGATCTAGATGTTGAGTTATCTCTAGCTACTAGTTGGCTCAAGTCAGTAAGTTTCTTAGATTCTCCAAAGCAAGGTTAAAACGATCTAGATCTAAATCAGACTAGATCAGAACGATCTAGACCAGAACGATCTAGACCAGAACGATCTAGATCAGAACGATCTAGACCAGAACTATCTAGACCAGAACGATCTAGATCAGACTCTGACTCTAGTTTTGAAAACTCTAAAAGTCAGACCAATCATTCTAAGGCTGACTAGAAGCTGACACTTTACAAAAACAGAAAAAAGCACTAGATTGGTCTAGGTCTAGTTTTATTTATTAGCTGGATTAGCTTAAAGACTTAAATCAATTCTAGAGCCTAAATTCCTTTATTGGCTTCAAAAAGACTGCTTAACTTTTGATTCCTATGTGCACTTTTTAAAGACTTCTGTCTTCTCGTTTTATGTTTGACAGCAAGAACAAACCATAAACAAATCCATCCTCGCCTTTCGAGTGAATCGAGACCAAATTTGCGCCCATAGCTTCGCACTTTCCTTCGGCTGTTCCCGCACCGTACAACTGCCAGTGCACTCCATCAGTATAGGTGAAATTCTAGAGAGTTGGGTATTTTATTGACAAATAGATTTAAGCAACCTGTACGTAATAACAGTCATCATTTGCCGCGAAATAAGTCCATCCATTCGGGCAACCACCTGGACCGATTGGGCCTGAAGTCGGGTTGACCTTGGTTGGCTGAACACTGGTGCTAGTGTTTACTAAAATTCATGTTATCACGGTTATAATGAAAGGTAAATATTGTAGAATCAGCTCAGATTGATTCGGGTTTTCAGTCAGGATATGGGAAATTTTAAACTGTTCTTAGAAATATCAGAAATACCTTCAACGAGGCTTGATATTGTTATAACTTGGGCTTGAGATAACTTGGGCTTGATAACTTGGGTTTGATATAACCTGGGCTTGAGATAGCTTGGGCTTGATTTAGCTCGGGCTTGATATAACCTGGGCTTGAGATAACTTGGGCTTGAGATAACTTGGGACCCAGGCCTGATAGATCTGATATCTTGTTTTATAACTTTTCTGGGCTGGATGGTTTTTATTATTTCAAAAGAAAGAGTCTCACCTTCAATCAGCGAACACACATATGGCCTCGCCACTGAGCAGTCAGCTGATATCCATTTCCCTGTTTGTGGATCCATAATGGCACAGAGACTTGATGAGTTTTTTGGTTCACCTGGAAGAAGCCATTGAAAATAATGATGTCTTTACTGATAGTGAGTAAGGCGAATCAACACTGGCAAAGAACTAGTAAAAGGCGAGTTTAAAGTCACTTTTCTACTAAACACGGTTCTACAAAGTTCTATCCTTTTTCTCTTTAATTAAGTTCTCTCTAATTTTTATTATTTTGTAAGTGTTTATAGGCAAAAGATAGCCAATTTTCTACAGAATTTAAAACTTGTTATAGTTTTTAAATAATTTCTTTAGATTTTGAGTTATCACAATTTCTGTGAGTTCAAAGAGATCAGATCAGAGAGCTCGCACCAGTTATTAGTATTACCAGTATAAGAAAATCTGTCAAAATTAAAACTCAGACGATTAGAAGTATTCAAAAAACATTGTTTATCAGTTTTAAACTGGAAATACAACAACTTTTTTTCAATGAGTTTGTAATTTTTATAAAAAAAACGCAAAAATATGCGCAAGCACAGAGTTTTTTTCGAAAAGCGATAACTCAAAATCTAAAGAAGTCATTTAAAAACTGTAATAAGATTTAAATTCTGTAGAAGATTGGCTAGATTTTAGCTATAAACAATTATAAAATAAAATCAAGCAGAAAGCTTTTAGAGAGAATTTAGAGAATTCTGAAGAGTTCTAAGAGAGAATTCTAAAAAGGATAGAACTTTCGCCACATCTTATCTAGAAAAGAGCAGTGTTTGTCTGTCTGTCTGTTTGTCTATCTTTTCTTAGCCTTTTCTTGACCAATAAAGTCAAAATTTCTTTAGAAAACTTTAGAATATTAGGTTGATGCATAAGTCTTTTCGTTCCTTTTCGTCTGCCGTTTCAAGCCAACAAATGCACCAATTAAACTACGGTTGATTTCATTAGAAAAACGAATTATTTTTCTGCAAAATAACATTAAAACGGGTTTAAAAATATTTAATGCCTGGATTTTCTTGAGAGTATGAAGTCGGGTAGTCAAAAAGGGCTAACTCGATGATGCGGTTTAGACACCTTAGCTAAAGAAAACCTATCTTCGTGTCAATAGATAAAAGATAGAGAAAAAAAACGTTTGATATTTTGCCAAAATTTCAGAGAAATTCATTCAGCCAATTTTTCCGTAGAGTTTTTTATAGATTTTTACGAAAAAGGCGTTTTTCACTCTCGAATTTGCTTGAAAGTGAACCGAAATTCATTTAAAAAGATGCAAATTGAACAAAAAAACACTTTTTTTTATAGAGCAAACTATAGATTAATTGGTGAATTTGTTACTTTTTAACAGAAGTACGAAAAAAATGAAAAAGACTTTTGCATCAACCTAATAGTACTAAACAACGCTAAATTATCTCTAGTTTCTGAATTTGAAATCAGATTTGAATGTGAACTCTCCGAGGAGCTATGCGAGCAGCCATAAATTTTGTGGCGAAATGTCGTGCGGTGAAATGGTCATTTCCTCTGATTACACAATGCAATCATTGTGTAATCAGAGGTAAATACAGTAATGAAAAAAAAGTTTTGGCCAGTCAATATTCACTTGGTTTATAATTTCATAATAATCACATTCAAATATAGTTTTTAGTTTTATGTAGCATTTTCAAAGGTTTATTCAATCTAGAAGTATAATTTAAACATATTTAGCCCATAAAGTAAATCTACTCATATTAAACTTGACATATTTTTATGATAAAAAAAATATGCGGTGGGTATAACCGATAATTTACATGAATATGTTTGCATAAATGTGATTTGTAATTTGGGCGAGGCTATAATATAGCCTATACAGCCTATAGGCTATAGTATAGCTCCATTACTATAGCCTATAGGGATGAGGCTCCATTTTTTCATACCCTCTTTAGGGTGGGGCTCTATATGTTCAGTACTGGACAATGAAATATCATATTTGAAAAACGATCGTCAGTTTCGCGCGTCTGTAACTCCCTTGTCTTTGAGTTTAAACTATTAGTGTTATACATTTTCTGAAAGCTCTTTTCAAGGGCTACACAATGGTAATATTCATATTTAGAAATATGGTATTTTTTGACGCATTTCATAGCAAAGCGCGCTCCCGGCTGCTCCACGACGACAGGCAACCAGCCTGCCAGGAAAAACCGCTATTAAGCGGGTTTTTCGGCTTTCATTCAATCTTACCTGTAGCCCAATTCATATAGGTGACCGGTGACCCGTCAGCATAATACCACAAGTTATTCGCTTTCCTTTCAAGCCCAATGTACGCTCCATCATTGGCACCAAGAACTGTAAATGACGTTATTTCTGTTTTAGAGATCTTCACAAACTTGTTGGCAATAAAGCATAGATATAGGCATTCTCGTAAATATTCTTGATCTTTGCCGGAATCCCATCGCTTCCCAGAGTCGCGCAGTGACGAATCGTATCGATGTAGTATTGCTCTGAAAAAAAGTTAGCAATACAATAAGAGTAATAGGGGAATAGGAGCTCTTAAGAGTTTCAAAAGGCTAGAAATATTCTTTAGTCTTACAACTTAGCCTTGTAATTAAGTAAACAAAGATAGCTAAAGTAATAACAGCAAATAGATTTGCTATTGAAAGCATAACCAAAAAAGTTAAAAGAAAAATTCTCTTTTGAATCTTTCTGAAACTAAGAAAGTAATCAAAAACTCTAATAAACTCTGAAAACAACTGCTTTTGTAATTTTAAGAATTTTTGGATTGATTCTTGGCTTTTTGGATTCATTTTTGGACTCATTATTACCTAGAAAAATCAATAAATCAACTAATATGATCTGGAGCTTTGGTAAAATTTCTCGGCCTGATTCTGAACCCGTATGCTATACTCCAGGAAAAGTTCTCGCAGCGTCGCTGCTCTTTACAGCGACACCTTTGATCTTTCCCGTAAAACGTCCATAGTTCTCTCGTGGACGTAATTTTCTTCCAGAAAGTTTCCGGTAAGACTTTCCGAGGAACTTTTCAAAGAAAAGTCTGCTTGACCGGAAAGTTTTTCCGGAAACTTTCTGGAAGAAAAGTCCGCTCTGCGGGAAAACTATGGACGTTTTACCGGAAAGATCAAAGGTGTTGCCGTAAAGATCATAGAATCTGGTAACTTTCCCGGAGTGTAGCATAAGGGGTCTGGTAAGTTCAAAGACAAAGTCACTCATGATCAACATTGCTATTAAAAGGCTGCTATCAAAGTCGATCAAAAGTCGAAACACTCCAAAAGCAATTTAAGAAATTTTCTTTAAGATCTAATTCTGCAATGCCAAAGAAATCAAAATCTGATAAATTCCTAGGTTTGCTATGATCCTAACAGGTTTAAATAACTTACGATCAGCATTCAAGTATACGCAAACATTATCATTTGGTACTGGGTATCCTCCATTTGAGCATGATTCGATCAATGACAAAGTCAAGCCAAAAAAGAAAAGAATATCTCTGATTGGTGACATTCGATTTGAAGATTACCCCCTTCACTTTCAGAATTTTGAGTCCTTATCTAGGAGAGTCTGGAAGTAGATTGATAAGCCTTTTTTTGAAGAAAATAATGACTAATAGGAAACAAGCTAGAGAGATTCCTGAAAGATTTCCGGAAAATTTTGATTTTTAAAGAGAATTCTAGAGAGTTTGAACTCTTATCACTTGACATTTTCTGTACTAGATCTGCAAATGAATCATTAATGTAAAATGAATCACTGATATCTCATAAAACCAAAATTACAAATCAGGTTAGCCCGTATCAAATTAGTAATAGCTCAAAGATTATCCCAGCCATTGGTGATGATGATTTCTTGAATGATTCTGACTTGTTAAATTGTTTACTAGGCCAGTTCGTCTATTTACTCAAGCATTAAACTTAAATGTAAAAAGATAACACTTAAGCACAAAATTTGGTTATAAAGAGCCGCGTCCCAGAGTCCCAGAAGCTCTCAAGTTTTGAAGGTATGGAGTTCTATAGAATTGTTAATTTTAAGTTTCTGAGTAAAGTCGCTTCCACGGATCTTTTTGCTTGACATTCTTCCAGTATATTAAAAATATACATTACTCAATATTTATACAAAAATTCAAACGATCTGCTTAGATTCTATCGAGATATGGGAATCCAAAGTTGAAAGTACCCGTTTTTAGTCTAAAATTGGACTTTTTCCAACAAAGATTTAGCTCTAAAGACGAACAAACAAAAGCAAATCTTTGCTTTTATGTTATTTTAAAATAACTTTAATTAGCGGTATTTTCTAACCAGGCTATTACCAGCACATTTTCCAAAAAATGTTCATTTTTGACCTATCAACTTAAAAGTCACTCAAGTCCCCAAGAATCAATTCAATTCAAAATCTTTATGCACTATTTTGTAGAGGAGATTCAGGGCTTTCGAACAGTATACAACACGAGTTGGTGACGATTTTACGGTTTCCAATTTTCCCCCGAAGCTCTAATCTCTAATCCCCCACTAGATCTCATCGTCAGCTACATTTTCCAACCCGACATCGATAGGTTCTGATAAGCGGTTCTCGAGATTTCGAGCAATTTAGGCCAAGCTTATGACTAGTATTAGTTTAGAACTAGTTTGGCAAAATTCTGCGAAAATATACCGGTTTAGTATGATGAAAAGGGTGACATTTACAAAATCTATTAAATGAATTGCAACCAGCGAGCCCCAGTGAGCCGAGTTGTTGACTATTTTACGGTTTCCAATTTTTCCCAGAAGCTCAACACTCAAATCCCCCACTAGATCTCATCGTCAGCTACATTTTCCGACCCCACATCGATAGGTTCTGATAAGCGGTTCTCGAGATTTCAAGCAATTTAGGTGACGCTCAAGGTGCACTACTATTAGAGAAACTACGGTATATAGCGCTACGGTTTCATTCCTATAATCCTAATATCTTTGCACAACCATCACAGGTGGTTGCCGTAAAATTTTTTTTATGGTCACCCGGCCGCGATTAATACCCCCCTTTTTAATGAAAAATTCGAGCTTTGTCAAATAAGTAAAAGGGGGGCATTAATCGCGGCCGGGTGGCCATAAAAAATTTTTTACGGCAACCACCTGTTTTTTTATTTTAATATCGCTGATTTTATTATAAAAAGAATAAAAATCACCCGGCTAAAGTGATTTGGGTTTACAAATTTTTGGAGACGCTGCAAGGCTCGCGTAGTACAAGGTAATTGCGAAAGTAAAGCAAAAGTCAGGCATTATGTTTTCTTTTTGTTTTCTTTAGACTTTCGATCTACACTTTTGGTTTTTAACATCTCTAGATGCCTTTTTCAAGATGGAGATTTTATTTTTAGATAATGCAAAAGATCATTAAGCTAATCTAGCTTATGGTCTTCTATTGGGTTGTCCAGTTATGAATGCGCGTTTTTACTATTTTGTAAATTTCTCAAGATATCGAACAGATGTATATGAGTGTTATATATCATTCGAAAGCTGAAGATCTCCTCTACATTTTGGGATTAAAAAGTGTTTGAATTCATTCAACTTTTTGGGAAATTGACTGCACAAAGGGGGAGGTCGTTTTCGAAAAAATCCATTCCAGCTTAGCTATTCCTCAAGTTTTATGGTGTAAAATAGCCGCCCAGAAAAGAAAAGAAAAGTAAAGATGCTCTGAAATTGTTATATTTAAAAAAAAAGTTGTATTGATATATCTATCGGCCAAACATCAAACGGTTAACTCAATTTGAGCGGAGCCAAAACTTGATCCAAAGGCACCCTTCCATTTTTTGGCCACCTCTTCTTCTGTGCAGCCAATTTGCCCAAAAGCTGAACAAATTCAAAAACTTTTTATATCAAAATGTAGAGGAGATCTTCAGCTTTCGAATGATATATAACACTCATATAAATCTTTTTCTTGATTTCGGTATCTTGAGAAATTTACAAAAAATTAAAAAACATAACTGGACAACCCACTAAGTACTCTTGTTTTTTCGAAAGCCAAAAAAACTTATGTTACGAAACAAAAGAAAACCACAATCGAATGGAAAAAAAAGATCTAGTTGCGTCAATCGAAGCGCTGAAGATGGAGGAGATCCAGTCATTTCTGCTGAGGACGAGGAAATTGACTCCTCAGACACCTCTGCTGAGGAAATTGACTAAGATAGGAAGCCGATTTGAGAAACTGCTGTAGTTGAGCGAAGATGAAAGTGAGCAAGAGGAAGAATTATAGATTAACAACTTAGTTTTATTGTTTTTTGTGCTTTTTATTTTGTTTTTAAATTTATCTGCAACTAAAATCGATCTAAACTGTGCTGAGGTGTCTGATGAGTGACGATCTTGTTTTTTCCAAGCCTTGCAGTGTCTCCAAAAATTTGTAAACCCATCAAATCACTCTAGCCGGGTGATTTTTATTCTTTTTATAATAAAATCAACGATATTAAAATAAAAAACAGGTGGTTGCCGTAAAAAATTTTTTATGGTCACCCGGCCGCGATTAATGCCCCCCTTTTTAATGAAAAATTCGAGCTTTTGGCTAAGAAATTGATGGAAATTCAAACAACAACCATCGACAACTTGGTCGCTTCGATGAGCGCTCGGTGCCAGACTATTATTGATTCTAAAGGATCTTCCACAAAGTATTGAATTGATTTATTGGTTCTTTTTTAAATTTAGAAGTTTAACCCCCCCTTTTTAAAAAATACCGACTGGGGCTACCAGTGGTGAATTTATCGCATACACGAAATATATCAATCACAATACAACGACACACACAATACTAGGCTATATCTTAACTTAACCCACGTCATGACAGACGGCTCCCTAACCCTAAGCTCAATGGGGAACTAAATAGCTTTTTTGGTGGTGAAGGGAAGATGACGATGAAGGAGTGGCTTGTCACTTTAAAGAACTGGGGCCACAACCACCAGACTGCCCTCCAGAAAACCTCTCAACCCGAAGGGAAAGGAAATCCGAAGGGGGTGACCATGTCGCATGTGGGGTTCGAACCCTCGACCTTCCGATTAAGATAAAAGACACTTAACCAGTCAGCCACACGTGCTCCACGTGCTTTTCCCCTTTAAGGGGAAAAATCGAAATTTCATTGACTTTTGTTTTAAATGCTTTGAAAAAAAAAATGCTGACAAGCATGAGTGCATTTCCAAGAATTAATCTTTTCATTAATCGGGTCAGAAACCCAAAAAGACAGGTGCTTTTTAGCCAGGAAATTAAAAGTGGAATGAATATTAAATAAATATTATTT